CGCCATCTTGGCAGCGCGTCACCGCGCGTCACTCCCAGATAATCGAAAATGGCAAAGAGGCGGGAGCTGGTTGCTGAAACCATGCCCACCTAGCGCTACGGTGGTGACAGCAGCGGCAATCCACCCGTCACTCAAGTGGCCACGCCCTTAATTATGCAGAAATTTAAGGCTTAATATAATTTAAACGGATGAGTTATAAAAAAATTCACCCCCCTCACAGTTGTTATGAAGGGCAAAATTAGCTATATAGACCAAAATCATTTGGCAAAATCAGGCTGTAAACGTTTCTTTTCTGCTGTAAAGTTGGGCATTTTAACATGGGGAGTCTATGGGATTGACTCCCTTTTGCAGCCAGCCTCTAGCGGCCAGTTGACGAATTACAGTTTAAGTCACTTCCGTGTTGGCTTCAGGAGAGAGAGCGGGAGGTTGTCGCTTGGCTTGGGCTTTGTTTACCCCTCATGTAACTAGCTCCGCCCTTGCGCCATGGCTCGTGACCGGAAGAGAAGATGAGTGGTTTTGAGGGGGAGGGGAGGTTAACGTTTTTGATTAAAGATTATGAGGGCACATGAATTTAAAAAAAATAATGAAGTGCACAGATAAATTATTTATAATAAACATTACAGTATTCCATTAAAAAAATAAGAATTTTCAATTTTGATTTCATGCCGACTTTAATGCTGTTTCGCCAGCACGCCACTGCATAGAAACAGCGCTTGCTACCACAAACAGATAGAATATAATTTGTTATGGTACTGTGGAACTGCATAATGTATATGTTGAATGACCTAAGCCTTCTTAATATTAAAATTATTTATTGTTATTATATTAATGTTAATGTATTGTTTTTATAATTATATTTTGTTAGTATTTAAATTATATTAATTGTATAATATAATAATATATCGATTAATGATGTATTATTTCATTTTATCTTATTTTGATTTTCAAATTGGCATAGCGCGCTCCCGTGCTGCCAGGCCGGTTTCCATCAGCTGTCCGTCACTCTCTCTGTGCTTCCCGCCCACACACGTGCTCACCTCTGTGCTCTGATTGGATGAGCAGGAAGGCGATGAGCTCATATTGGTTAAAAATAGCTTCACGCGCTGGGGCTAAAAATAGGCGCATATATAAAGGCCGGCGTTTAAGCGAGGCTCGCTGCATTTACGCAGCAGTAGCAGGGGAGGATGAAACTCTCCGAGAGACAGAGGGAGAGGGCGAGAGAGAGAGATCGCGAAAGGGCGATCGCGAAAGGGCGGCGACCCCTTTCTCTCGGTCCCGCGTCACAGCGCAGTCTTTCACAAGAAAGACAGAAATGGCAAGTTGTTGAGTTTTTCAGCCAGCCCGGGTCTGAGTGTTGCCTGGGGGCTGCATGACTATTTCCTTCCTTCCTTCCTTCCTTCCTCAACAAGTCATGTTTTCCCCCCCTCTTCAGTTAAATAGAAGCCGGCTGTGTTATATTGCATAATATCCGAGAATTATCCACTACACTGTCATTAAACATATTGGTATCGATGGTTTGGAGAATTTCATCGTGCTGTTCTGAATCCCGGATTATCCAGTGGGTGGCAACTCGAAATAATTCCAGCTCCTCTTCGCTAAATTTTGAATCAGTAAACTCTCTCAACATTAGCTGGAGTGCAGAGGCGTAGTCATCAGCGTAAAAACAGAACATACTGTTCACTGACAAAAATGAAAGCAGGATTTCCACTTCTGTTAAAACTTTTTCCTTCCAGTCCTGTGAAGGAACTGTCTTGTCACCTATTAAGTCTTCATGACACCCTAAAGTTCATTTCACAGATAGGTTCTATGAACAGATGATGAAATGTCACCAATCTACATGTTGTTGGTGTGTAAATAGTGCTAAAATTCTGAAATATAAAAAATAGTGCCTGATTTTACACCAGGAACTGACTTGAGTTCTGTATCGTGTGTATGTGTACAATGTTTGGTGATCTCAACATTAATGAAACTGCATAAATATCTACTCCACTTGCTGAAAGGGAATAGTTTGGGCAAAAATTAAAACCGTATTTTACTCATCTTCATGTCATTTAAAATATGACTTTATTCTGTAAAACATAAATTTTGAACAATGCCCTGTACTCGGTTACATACAATAAAAGCATACAGTGACCATGAAAATGCACCATAAAAGAAGTCCATTCAACTTCTGTGTTAAATTTCCAGTCATACATTAGCTTGTGTGAGGAATGGACCAAAATGTCATCATTCACTAATAATCTATTAATATGATGAATTCTTTGAAAATGGGCACCTGTATACCTACATAGAATTTCTTCAAAGGTATAATATTCCAATAATCCCCAAAGAATATTGTATAGTGTTTGATGCTATACCATCCAGATTAAAATGTCTGTTTAAAGGAAATGTGAATAAGGAGACTGTGAGTCAGACCTGATGTTGCAATTAATAGAGTTACTATTAATGATAGAAAATTGAATAATTACTCTATCAGGAAGTTACTATTTAGATACAGAATACAGCCCAATATCTTCTAAAACATACTGGCATTCTAAATTTGAGTGCATTGACTGGAAATATGCATGGTTGCTGCCTAAAAAATATTGCATAATAAGGTGAGAGAAGTACATTTTAAAATACTCCATCTGGTGTACCCTGTTAAAACTCTTTTTCTTAGATTTCGTACTGATGTAGATGTTATATGTGATTTCTGTGGGACTGAGAAAGAAAATGTTGTGCACTTATTTTTTAACTGCATTTATAGCTAAATGTTTTGGATAGATTTGGAATGTTTCCTTTGTAAATGCCTAGGCATGAAGGTTTACTTTTCTGACAAATATGTATTTTTTTATTTTAATAGACAAAGATTACCACCAAATGTGGCCTTTATTGTTAATCTTTGTTTGATTATGGGGAAATACCATATACATAAACAGAAATGGGCTAATGGAAAACCCAACACTTTGTTATTTCAGATAGATATGAAAAATTATATTGAGTTACTACTTGGGTTGAAAAACAGTAAAACAAGACACACTAGGCCTCTTTGTGACGCTTTTATGTTATTTATACGATGATCTCATACCTGAATTGATGCAATTCACCTTTGTTATTAAGGCATTTAAAGCTTCTAGATTTCATAACTAAAATGTTATGTTGTAATATAATGTACTAAAATATTACATTTACTATAGTTTTATATGTATATACTTTAATTATTTGTGATTGACAGTTAACAGAAATATAACAGTTTGCTACTACCAGTAGCAGTTTGTTAGGAAGAATACTATGCTTTAGCAGAAATGCATAGGGAGTAAGTGTGCAGTCTATTGATGTCTCTGATTAACATGTTTTTATTTCATGAAAAAAAGACACTTTTAAAAACACTTTATGAATAGCAGGTCTGTAATGAGTAAATAACAGAAGTGTATTGTTTTGGTGAACTACTTACAAAAAGGAAGCAGAAACAAAATGGTATTTTTTCCTGTTTGCATCATTTACATTCTGCTAGTTTGTGAAGGTTTACACATTAACATGATCATTCTCTCTCTCTCTCTCACACACACACACACACACACACACACACACACACACACACACACACAGAGTTGCTCCTTATAGAACATCTTTTATTACACAAGATTACCAAGTCTAGTTTACAAATACGATTTCCAGTCCTGAATGTGTGTACATACAAATACACACGTTCATATGTACAGGTATGTATACATATCAACCCCCCACCCACCCCATGCCCCTTTTTTGCTTTAAAACAGCTATTTTGTACTTTTGTTCTAAAATCCCAATCTTGCCCTGATCTAAAAGAAAACCTTAAAATGATTCATACATACAGAAACAATCAAGTTCAGCCCTGTTTCATGTTGCAGAAAAAAAGCCCAGCACATGAGGGATGGGCTGAAGTATTGATTGGCAGCTCACAGGATCACACCTTTCCAATCAGCCCACAGGGTCACATAACAGCATTTGGCAGATGGGCAAGCTTGAATGATACCACAAAATCAGATAAAGCATCAAAAAAGTCCCATTTGTCCAAGTTCTCTTAAATACTGATAAACATCTCCATGACTAAAAATAAGACCAAAAGGGGAAAAAAGAGACAAAACAAAGCTTTTTTTCTGGGATCTCTTTCTCAAAAGCATTTGGCCAATGTGGGGGGGGGGGGTTATGCGCCGCTCTAGTGGCCATTTCAAACACCTCCCGAACGCCATCTTTTGTTTTGGCTGAGCACTCCATGTAACCAAATGCACCAATTCGATTGGCCATGTCTCTTCCTTCCTCTGCCTTAACAGGCTCCTATTGGACAGTCAACAAAATATGCTGTCAGTACACATTATTTGTGTCTTGATACTCTACGTTTATTGAAACAAGAAAAACTTAACAACCAATTATCTTAAAAACGTCCAGTTGAAGAGTACAGTAATGTATTTTCTGTGCAAGTACTCTGTATATGTTTACCTGCTTCATCTTAGTCAGCTCCCTGCGTGTGTGTTCATCATTCCGCAAGTCCTTTTTGTTGCCGACGAGGATGATGGGAACGTTTGGACAAAAGTGCTTCACCTCAGGTGTCCACTTCTCTGGAATATTCTCTACACAGATGTCAGAGATCAAAGGTCAATACTGGAGTTTTAACACCGACCGGAGGTAAGTTTCATTAGAAAAAGGAAAGATAATGTAATTACAACATGCGCATGTGAGAAAGGTACACAAAACAATAGACCAAAGGGAGTATCCTTACCTAAACTGTCAGGACTGTCAACAGAGAAGCACATAAGAATGACATCAGTGTCTGGGTACGAAAGAGGGCGGAGCCTATCGTAGTCCTCCTGTCCTGCGGTATCCCAGAGAGCAAGTTCCACCTATTGGATAAAGAGACACACTGAGCTCAAACGCACATTCAGAACATCCCAAACCATTAAAATGGACTTCCACCACAAAAAGGACAGATGGAGGTGCCATCAGCATGTTAAGCTAAATAAGGAAAGTGAATCAGGTCAATATTTTCACATTAAAGCCACTTCCAAGAGCTCCAACTGACAGGCAAGGACTTACTTAGCCTATTAAACTGGGTTTTAGGGTTTACATGTGAACACATGGTCCTCCAATAGCTAATAATTTGACTTTAAATGAGCCAAACTTTATTGCGCATCTTAATTTAACAAGTCATTGTTTTATAATCAGCATAAAATCACCTCAGTGAGTGACACAATTAGAAACAGCAGGAACAATGATATTTATGCACATTGTATTTCTCAAGTGTGTTGTGCTCACCTGTTTGCTGTCAACCTCAATGTCGGCGACATAGTTCTCAAACACCGTGGGGACATAGACTTCAGGAAACTGGTCTTTACTGAACACGATAAGCAAACAGGTTTTACCGCACGCTCCATCTCCTACAATCACCAGCTTCTTGCGAATCGCTGCCATACCTACAAAAGACATACACATACACAGTTAAACACTGCAGCACTGCGCTACCAGTCACCTTTGCAGCAGCAACCGGAATAATTGCCATGGCTATATAATGTTGGGATACTTCATTTTTCAATGTCACTTCCTGCAAAATACAAACTCTAATATGAATGGAGCCATTCGTGGTAGTCCTCTACCATTATAAAGTACTGTAAATACACACCAAACCATCCCTTAGGCCCAGTAATCAAAGCCACACAGGGTTCAGAGTCCTCAGTTGACTCATCACAGCCAACGGTGACATCCGACAAGCCTTCAACAGAGCAATTTCAACATGACCACAGCAGAACCAACCCATCCGATCGCATCAACATGACACAGCACTTCATTTTCTGATCCAGAACAGCCGTTTAAATAGAGGCAGATCTGGAAGTGTCTGTTAACTGGGCCAGATGTCTTTGAAGTGCAAGCTGCATCCCAGTGGCCAAGATAAAGCTGGCAGCTACAGAACAGAGCCCACATTACTGATGAACAGGCCCGTGGCGATGAGAGTGGCTCTGATGGACAGTAGATTAAACACTGACACACACACACAGAGCAGCAAAGCTAAAGATCAAAGTCTGAAAACCAGCAGAAGAGACAAAGCCTCGGCACTAAAGATCAACTAGTGGTTCTATCTTCCATATATCCCACTATATTAAAACGTACATTCATGTGGGAGATTTTCACCCCAGCTTCAACATGTCTAGCTAAAACGAAACACAATATGCATTATAATGAGTTGCTGTGCAGGCTGAGGGCCTGGGGAACACCTGAAGATGAATCTGATGTTTACCAGCACCTCCTAATCTAATATTCTCATATCCACATGGATGTCAAACAGTCAAAATTCATCGGGTTGCATGTGGGCACATGACTTCTGGGACCTCCTGATAACTGCGTGGCAACAGTAAGGTTTGTGAATTATTCAAAGTGATACAGATTAGACTGGATGGCACCTGTAGGTTTAATGAACCTTCATTAATGAAACAAGAACTTTCTGTATAAAATGTAAAACCACTTGACAATGTACATTCATAAACTGATTTATGAAAGATTTGCTCTAAAATGTCTCCCACTCATGCTGTCATGGAAATTGTAAATAAGACCCAATGGGAGTTTCAAACCACTGTATGGGATTATAGACCCATATTAATAGGAACATTAATCGCAATGACTTCTATCGGTCACTCAAGACTTTTGTTACAATATCATAGCTAACAGAAAAAATGAAGAAATTTGTCATTTTGTTCGATTGCCTGTACTGTTGTTTTCAATTAAAAAAATGTTTGTATGACATATAATACATAATTATATCTCACTTGAACACAACTAAATACTGTTTAAAGCTACACTACAATAAAACACTACATTTTTTAAGACTGAACTCAAGCAAATTATGGGAAAGGACCAGAATAAAGATATAAAGTTATTTGTGTTACCAAACAAAACAATGCCAAAGATTATCTCAGAAAAACTTATACATTTCAAATGTTCAAGAATACGACAAATCACAAAGGTTAGTAAAATTATAATCTTAAATTTTTGCATTAATCAGTTTATGAATCCTCTGCTTATTTTAGATTACTAATCTTATTTATTTAAACAAATGTTAAAAATCACTCAAGAACAATGTCAGTTATGGGTAAATAAAATCAATAATCCTCCAGTTACGTCTAAATCTGAGATTATGCGTGTCTGGGTCGAGTTTTAGCTCACCGCTTTAAATCAACAAAGACAAACAGCTTCCACCGCATATATATAACTGTTACCGGTAATATCGAATATATTCACGAAGAAACACTTGTGTGTGAACTTTACAGCTTTCACCACACATTGTAAAGTTCGTTATTATGTCTAAATACCTGGATATATCTTTAAACGGGTTTTTAAATCTGGACGCCGAGGGTAAACTGCTTTTCCCGGCCGGCGGTTGCTCGCGGAAGCGGCGAATGGTCAGTCGCTGAGCTCTTCCCTTTCCACTGTATCAAAAAAGTAGTTTTAAAACAACCAGTCCGCAGAGAATTGAGCTTATAAAGTTTATAATAGCTGCATAAATACAAAGACGAGAAGAAAAAGTAACCTTACTTGCAGTTTAGATGGCTAGCCGTTTTGTTTTATATCAACGGTGGAGCTCCGTCGCCTCTTCTAGCCGATACAATAAACCGTTGGCGAGCACGCGCAGAGCGCGGGCATTCAGAAGGGGGAAGGGATTGCGTGCACGAGCTCGAGCCACGCCTGCGCGAACACGTTGAAGAGAGTTTATTTGGCGGTGGATGAATGAGTCATTATGAGAGACGGACCACCCTAACAAGGCCGTTTTGTGTTATATATGAAGTTAAAAACTAAAAATGCGTGTCGTTCATGGAGCAAAAGGGGACTCTATCTAACCAACGTACAACGTTTTCCAGTTTAAAACAACCCCTAACTGTATAAGCATACCGTTGAATAAAGTTTCTTTGGAAAAGAAAACTCTAAAAATCAAAATATATTGCTTGAAATGTAATCAGCATCAAATGTGATGATGCTCAGTAGACTTGTTTTAGGAAGCAACAATTAAGAGATAGCGTGTAGAACCCGATACGAAACTGAGCATAGGACTTCCCTCAAGCTGAATGAGTTTGAATAAGAACAGACGATGATAATGCGTGTTTGATGCGCCATCTATCGGCAACTGTGCCTCATTACAAGGTCTCTAGTCTACAAACAAACCCACCGGATATAAGAATATTTAACTCAATAATTAAATTTTTCATTATTTACTTACCATCATGTTGTTCCAAACCTGTACGAGTTTCTGTGGAACACAAAAAAATCAGAACGACTGCCTCAGTCACTATCCACTTTTATTGCACTTTTTGTTTCATATAACAAAAGCGAATGGTGACTGAGACTGTCTTTTGCCTAACATCTCATTGTGTGCTGCAGTTAGTCATATGGCTGAGTGGTTCAGGGTGAGTAAATGACAGAATTGCCATTTTGGGGAGATGGTCCTCACTGCAGAATTGCAAGATCCAGGGGGCGAGGTTGGATCCAGATCCAACCCCTCCCACCTTACATATACCTAAACCTACCCGTCTCCACCCCGATTCCTAAACCCACCCATCTCCACCCCTAAACCTACCATTCTCCACCCCCTAGATGTGGATCCAACCCCGCCCCCTGAATCTTTGTTCTGCAGTGAGGGGCTACTGATTTTGGGGGAGGTGGGGGATATATTGTGGCTAGTTCCACTTCTTATCAAAGCCCTGGCACTAAAGATCAACTAGTGGTTTTATCATCCATGTAGGAGATTTTCACCCCAACTTCAACATGTCAACCTAAATCAAAAACACCTGGGTAACACACCTGAAGATGAATATGTTTATCAGCACCTCCTAAACTAATATTCTCATATCCTCATGGAAGTCATGAAAGTTTTGGGCTCAACGAACCTTCATTAATGAAACAAGAACTTTCTGTATAAAACGTCTGTAAAACCACTTAAGACTGTCTTTTGCCTAACATGGTAAAGCTCATGCAGAGCCTTTGTTAATTTAAATTTGTTATTTTCATACAATACATTTATACAATAGTGTTTTTTCTTTCCATTTTTAAATTCATCAAAGAATCCTGTAAAAAATGTACCAGTTTCCACAAAAAATATTAATCAGCACAACTGTTTTTAAAATTGGCAATAATAAAAAAAAATATTATCAAGCAGCAAAAAATTAGCATATTAGAATGATTTCTGAAGGATCATGTGACACTGAAGACTCAATAACTGCAGAAAATTCAGCTTTCCCATCAGAGGAATGAATTATAAGTATATTAAAATATAAAAGTTATTTTGAACAATATTACTGTTTTTACTGTATTTTGGATTAATTAAATGCAGCCTTGCTGAGCATAAGACTTCTATCAAAAACAAAAATCCTACAGACTCCAATGAATGGTATATACAGTATCTCACAGAAGTGAGTACACCACTCACATTTTTGTAAATATTTTATTATATCTTTTCATGTGACAACACTGAAGAAATGACACTTTGCTACAATGTAAAGTAGTGAGTGTACAGCTTGTATAACAATGTAAATTTGCTGTCCCCTCAACAGACCATACGCCGCACACTGCATCAAATTGGCCTGCATGGCAGTCGTCCCAGAAGGAAGTCTCTTCTAAAGATGACGCACAAGAAAGCCCGTAAACAGTTTACTGAAGACAAGCAGACTAAGGACATGGATTACTGGAACCATGTCCTGTGGTCTGATGAGACCAAGATAAACTTATTTGGTTCAGATGGTGTCAAGCGTGTGTGGCGGCAACCAGGTGAGGAGTACAAAGACAAGTGTGTCTTGCCTACAGTCAAGCATGGTGGTGGGAGTGTCATGGTCTGGGTCTGCATGAGTGCTGCCGGTACTGGGGAGCTACAGTTCATTGAGGGAACCATGAATGCCAACATGTACTGTGACATACTGAAGCAGAGCATGCTCCCCTCCCTTCGGAGACTGGGACATGGGACTTCCAGGCACTTGCGTTTTAGGGGTAAAACACGGGGACTTCCAACATGATAACGACCCCAAACACACCTGAGGGTAAAGGTGATGGATTGGCCAAGCATGTCTCCAGACCTAAACCCTATTGAGCATCTGTGGGGCATCCTCAAACGGAAGGTGGAGGAGCACAAGGTCTCTAACATCCACCAGCTCCGTGATGTCGTCATGGAGGAGTCGAAGAGGACTCCAGTGGCAACCTGTGAAGCTCTGGTGAACTCCATGCCCAAGAGGGTTAAGGCAGTGCTGGAAAATAATGGTGGTCACACAAAATATTGACACTTTGGGCCCAATTTGGACATTTTCATTTAGGGGTGTACTCACTTTTGTGGCCAGCGGTTTAGACATTAATGACTGTGTGTCGAGTTATTTTGAGGGGACAGCAAATTTACACTGTTATACAAGCTGTACACTCTTGTATAACATTTCTTCAGTGTTGTCACATGAAAAGATATAATAAAATATTTACAAAAATGTGAGGGGTGTACTCACTTCTGTGAGATACTGTACATGCACACAGATATAAACACTAACTAATAAAATGAATAACAAAGCACTGATCAATTGTTTTGAATCAATAAGGTCCTCTGGGACAGGTGTGCTCTTCATTCAGTCTTTATTATAGATGGAGAGAGATCAGAAAATTAGGCTGAAACCTGAATCAGAGAATAAGTCTGCGAGAGAAGCATCAAGGCTGACACCTATAGGAACCATGAGAAAACAAATCAACAATTACTAGTAAAACCCCAAAGAAAAAGTGTTACAAATATTAGTGTAAATTTCAGGAAACCTAATCAAAAATTGTAACATTAAATGAAACTCAAGCCACATTGTGTAAACAATCTGTGTTTTATAAAAACAGGTCCATTATGCAAGCTCATAATTTAGAGTGCAACACTCTTATCAAAGCCAACACATATAGACAGATCATTAAAGTACAGATGAGGAAAAGGGTACAACGGGGGACAGAATCAGATTCTGTATTGCTATTATCATTTCAAACTATTCTGAACAAAAATATCTTTGAAGTGACCGTATCCGACTCTCTCCTCACTGTGCCTCCACCTATGAAATCATCATGACTGAAAACAGGAAATCAAAGGGCCACATCCTTATCAATGAGAGCAGAACCTTAAATTAGATATCACGCATTCTTCGAAAAGTCCCAAATTTTGCAAAAACATTCATCTTTAGCAATCCTGCCCTTGAAGTTCCAGACATTCTTTTGATGCCGTTACATCAGTAAACAGCAAAAAAGTTCCATCTTCTGCCCAATAAATATGAGGAATCTTGCCTTTTTTCTGATACTATGCCAAAAAAATAAAACAAAATAAAAAAAAAAAGAGGCAACCCATAAACATTTGCAGAGTCTGCCATACATTTAAAAACTGAATCCCATAAACCATTAGAGCATTTATTCAAAAGGATACTTCCCAAAAACCTGACACAAGAGGCAAGAGGGAGAGAAGATATTCTTGTTTTTACAAAGCAGAAGTACTGGAGCACTGCAGATGCTATGAAACCGACTAGTCCAGGGTTTTTTTTGTACAGCTGAAAAACTGAGTATGGATGTCTTTGTCATTTAGTTTAGGTAATGTGTTCATTTAGTGGCAACTATGTAAAACATTACCAAGATAATGCGTGTGTGTTTGTGCGAGATGTCTCCAGTAGCGTTTGTGATTGTAAGGATAAACTGAACTCTGCAGGACAAAAACAAGGATTGTGTGCGTGTCTTTTCGTGTTAGGAATGGATCGGAGCATCTTCAAAACTTATGATGCTGGACTCCTGTTGTCCCGTAGGATTTTGTGTGGTGCTGGGTGCTGGTGGCAAAGTCTCTCGGCTTGAAAGGAGAGGAGTGTCTGTTCGCACCTCCTCATCTTCATCCTCCTCCTCATCGTCTTCCATGCTGGGCCAAGCCGACTGGTCTTCCACACGCTTCAGACGCTCATTCAAAGCTTTCAAAGCAAGTTGCCTGTGGGCAAACACAAAAAAATGAACTGATGCTGCTATTCGCCAATAAACAGACATGGATACATCAAAACTGAGAACAATCAGACTGGTCGCTGTCAAATTGACTTACTTTATTAGCTCTAGAAATGCACAATATGTCGGTACCATATTGGTCCTTGGTCGATATTAGAGATTTGTTTTAAATGTATTCAACAATTAATTAAATAAAGTTGAAATTAAAATATAAATATTAGATGAAAAACAAACTTTAGAAGTACTAAAATAACTAAAACTGAAATAAAAACAAATGAAACACAATAGATACAGTAAAAAATAATAGAAATGACAAATACATTTAGCAAAATTAGTAAAACACAAAATAAAATATTTATATTCTTAGTAATTTGTTACATGCTTTAATTTTTATATTTTCAGTTTTCATATAATGTAACGGATGCATCTATGCACTATACAAATATTAAAATAACTAGGTAAAATAAAAAAATAACCATATTTTTCATACTGTACATTAAAAAGTTGTACTAATTCCTAAACCCATTTGTAACATTTAAACAATTAATTTTAATTTCTAATTAGAAGAAATAGTATATAAATGTTAATATAAACCATATCATGAAAATAAATATCAGCCACTCTTAATTAAATTAACGTACCTCCGCCTTTCTGCATCTTGTGGGTCTGTGCCTGGTAGGCTGATGGTGATGGAGGATGGAGCCCCGACATCATATCGCTTCACCATCTTACGACAAACTTTTATCTTCACAAGGGCAGCGTGCACAAGCCCAGCTGCAAAGCCAACAGCCGGCTGGAGTGCCTCTGGGAAGAAGGAGGCGAAGGCAAAGTGGTCTGACATGTCTCCACGCCCCCTAGAGTGCCTCTGGTAGAAGCGCAGGTAAACCCACCCGGACAGAGTGCCGTACCCGCATGCTGCTAGTGGAGCTGAAGTGTCCAGCAGTCCTGCAAGCCGCAGGACGGCTATTGCTAGTAAAGCTAGCGCCGGGGCGGCTTTCAAACGTACTTGAGGAACTCGAAGCACTGTTGTGTCTCCCGCAGTCTGCTTCAGTGCTACAAGAATGCCCCCCAGAAAAGCGGGTGCACCATACACCCGCACAGCAAACAGGTAGTCCAGGTCAAAGGTGGCAGCGTAGGTGAGAAGATAAGAGAGTCCAGACAGGAGACCGGCTGCTACGTTTACCACAGCGAAGAAGATCAGCAGCTCCAGCGCTCCCCATAATGGCTCCAAAAGCCGTCCAGCAACCATCACAGTAGCAATGTTCACCGCCACGCCGAGAATGTGTTGCTCCACCACTGCATGGGTCAGAAGCGTCCAAATCCAGAAGTTTGGTGGGAAAAGGAAGCCAGGTGTGACGCCAAGCAGGTAAGGGGTGTTAGCAGCCCAGGAGAGCAGGTACATCAGGATCACTGTGGCACATATGGACTTGACCACCACGCTCGTGCTTGCGAGTGCACTCAAAAAGTGCTGCCGTGCCACTGGCAGGTAACGGTTCATCCTGCCGGATTCGAGTCCTCAGTTGTAAACGCTTCGGAAATGGCAAGCCTAAGAAATCAGCAGCTTATGTCAAATATGACGGACACAACCAGGAGATGAAACCCAGACATTAACATGCAAGCAGTGTGACCTCGTCAACAGAGGTTCTGCAACAGAAGCAACTTTGGGATGGTGTCTTGAGATGAAGATTGTGGAGAGAAAATGACAGTACTACCTCACAGTGGTTTTACAGGTGATTGCAACACTTGTGGTGAGATAAGTAGATCTTATCCTCCCTCAAAGAACGAAGAACTGTTGCTTTAAATAATATTGTTACCTAGTAAATAATACAAATAATCTGATCTTCCAGTATGCGTACAAAATACTTTTAAATACTAAAGCTTTAGTCAAGGTAACGTAAACTTTCTTGCTGAATAAGTAGTTGACCTTACTGACAAAACATTATTTTGACTATCTACCTGCTCAGGTCTTCCTGTTTCTGCGTTGTTAATATATAATTCATCACTTATGCGTTTCTATCAGGGTCACCTGAGCTACTCTACCTGTTTATCGACACCGTCTGCTAACACTCCATAAACCTTACCTCCTCGATTTGTTTTAACACATTTTCATGTCAGTTTGACAGTTTAATGTCGTTTGGTCTTAGTTCAGGCACTTGCCGTTTGTTTTAGGGGTAAAACACGCGAAGAAAGGCGAGCTATGAACAGCTTTCTCTCCGGTGGCATGTCCTCTCAGACCGGCCTGGAGTCGCAGTTCAGTCCGGGGATTTCCTCTCACAACAGGCCTCCAGGTAGCAGGTTTGAAGCCAGTAAGCGTGAATCCGCGTCAAGCGTCCCGGATTTTCTTTTTAATATCCTAACGTCGACATTTCTTCTGAATAAACCTTGTGTTTTGTTGTTTGAGAATGTGGCGTTTCCTGCAAACAGCCACAAAGCACAAACATCAGATTTGCAAACGTCACCGTTCAGCTTTGCGACTAGGCGTGTCGTTTACGGCACTGTGGGGCTAAGACTGCTGGGAAATGTAGTTTTTTCCCCCATGAACGCGAAGGCATGTCGTTTTTTTAAACAGCTGCTTTCACCTGATTACTATTAGTGTTTATTTTTATGCTACCAGCAGTATGGTTTTTAATACTAGAAATAAAATAGTGATTGGTAGCTACAAGTTGATACAAATGGGCTAATTGTTCTTTTACTGCTAGTCACTATTCCATTAGAGACAAATAATTTTCCCATTGTTCCTGTGTGACGTTTACCAGTGTTGGGTGAATTCTCGTGGGTGAAATTCAGTCATTAACCCAGTGAGATCAGGAATTTCGTGGAAGACCTGAAGATTTTCCCACGCAGATTTCGCAATATATTCAAGGTCACGCGGATTGAAAGTGACTTCTGTGGTGAGAAATTATTATTTTTAAATTTGAATTTACTAGTACGATAACACAATATTACCATGCAGGTCTATTCTTTAGTTACCAGTAACTATTCAATTATTCCTAATAGCCACTTGCTTCTAAAAACAGAAACTGATTCCAGTGATTAAAATAGCAATATAGGCCTAATCATTTAACAATGCTAGTAGCAAAGAAAAACAACACACTAATATCGAATGAACAAGTACTAGTAATTAAACGAATATTATGGAGTAAATATTAGTCTCTAGTCTAATTCGTCAAAATAATTAGTTACTACTGAAATTGAAAAAGATACTAATCACTATTGGATAACGTAACTGAAAAAGAAATATTAGTTTTAAACAATAAATGTCAAATACCTGTAAAATGACAGACAAAGCAAATGCATTGTCTATCTAATCCACTAGATGGCTGACAAAAGTCATCTCACACTGGCTTCTTTGAGCCCAGTCGTGATGTAGCCTATCTCAGTGATCACAGATATCTTGCATTCTGTCAGAGTCTGAAGGTTATGCAGTTATACAGAGGGTGTGACCTCAGTTGTGATGAACACCATGTAGCCTACAAAAAGGTCTCGGCTGCTCCTTCACTTGTTCTCACCTGTAGATCTGGGGTCTCGCATACCCGCTGGGATGCTGACAGGTGTTGTTGCGCATATTGTGTCCTCACAGAGCAGACAGTGATATTTAAGCCAGCAAGAATAACATGTTCTCACCCTCTCACGCAAAAAACTATTCATGACGTCAACAAAGATTTAGCTCTTCCACAAATTCAGTAGGCCTATGGTTTTACACTCTAAAAAATGCTGGGTTAAATATAACCCAGCGCTGGGTTATATTTAAGCCAGCATTTTTTAGAGTGTAATTTTAATTTAATTTAATTTTTAATTGACCTATCATGCCAAAGACTTTGACTTTCCAACTACTGAGCTAATGTTTTTTTCTATCCTCCAATCCTAAATCATTAATTTTTACATTTTTATTAAGACAGTTTACTGTGTTTGTGGGGAACATCTGGTATCCAAAATGTTTTACTGTCAAAGGATCGTTCGGACCTAAAACCTAAATGCTTACACTAATGCAGTTAGGGATTTTTTGGATATTTCCCAAACCTAAACCTAACAGAAATCTTAATTTGGATTTTAATATAATTATTTAGTATCATAAAGCCATTTTCAGACCACTGACTGCTGGGCTGGCCATAAAGTTGAAATAAAAATAAATGGTGAAAAAAAACTCCAAAAAAAAGTTAGAAATGGTAAAAATTCAAATCAATTAAGTTTAAGCTATAGCACTAAAATTAATAAAACTGAAATAAAAAGCAAAATAGACATAATTTACTAAAATATTTAATCAATTATTACAATTTAAACTGAATTTAAATTAAAACAGAAAATATAAAAATAAAAGTTAAATCAAAATATAAATACGATAATTGTATAAATAATTATTAACACTGAGCTGATCTTAAAATCAATCTATTTTTCATACTGTATATTATAATGCTGTGACTAAATTAACTCACAGCATTTTCTTTTTTATATTTATATATTTATTTTGAAGAAATAACTAATTTTAATATCAGACAACATCATTCAAGATGAGATCATTTGGACCCCACAATGTATGTAAAACCCAAACACACACAAGTCAGTGATATTTTCTATTTCCTAAACCTAACCCTAGCAGAATCCTTAATTTAGATTTTCATTACATCATTATTTAGTATGTTCATAAAGCCAATTTCCTTATGAAGAACACTGGCTGCTGCCCAACTCCCATACACACACACACACTGAATACTAAGCAGGACCTTTCTGCAAATTCAATACGTCACATTTATAGGAAAAGGAAGGTTGTGACCCTCTAACAGCACTCTTTCATTTTTATTGCATTATGAAGGAGCTCTGTCTCCTGTCTCACTTGCCTCCAGTGCCACATTTAGCCAGCACACCTAAGCATGACGAATCAACACCTGGTGAAAACACTTGGTTAGGAGACACAAATGCATGTCATGCATTTCAATGTGAGAGAAGGACTCAAGGAGAAAAGTAAAAGAAAGATAATGAGGAGGGCAGAGATCATTGTCACTGAAAATTGCTGTCTGTCCTAGACTTTGAATATACACTCACATGCAAACGCAAACACATGCGGAAACACTCACACTATCTATCCACTCCAATTCTCAGTCCCAGATTACACGGCATCTTTTCATCTTTCATTCAGCATTCATCACACAACTCATCTGTTGTCCTTATCACTCGTTAGCTGCCGTCAGTCTGCTGCTCTTTGCTCCATCTTCTTTAACCATTTCTGTCAAAAACTCTGTGGTACACTCTTAAAATAAATGGTTCTATCACCCGCTTCATATATGGAACCCCAAAATGGTTCTATATAAAACCATTTGAATGGGTTCATTAAAAAGAACCCCAAATGGTTCTTTGAATCCAAGTTAGATGGTTCTTTTTAGAACCATTTAAGGGTTCTTTATTATTAAAAGTTATTTATTATTTAATAAGAAAATATAACCAATCCAGAAAATTCAAAGTTTAAATTTATTCAATTATACATTTATTCAATTTATTATACAAAAATAGTGTCATATTTAAAATTGCACCTCTGTATATTCTGTATTAGACTGCAAAACTTTAAATTATTTTACATTTAAAATGTTTAATTACATTCAACCATTTAGTTTTCATTATTTCACGTCAGCATTTTCACTTTTTAATAAACATACATAAGCTTGTTTAAGTACTCTATGTACATATACAGTACTTAACTTATACATGTATCTCTGAAATGAGGAAAAACAAATCAATGCAGATAAAAATGCTTATAATTATTGTGTAATCTTTAGTTTACACTTCAGTCATAAAACATGAATTATAGAACCATTTTAATAAAAAAGGTTCTTTGCTCTCCAAGGGTTCTACATAGAACCATTTTTTTGGTAAAAGGTTCTATTGGCCAAGTACAGAACCCCAGGGTTCTATATAGAACCTCAAGGAACCCTTTTTTTTAAGAGTGTACGCCACAGAAAAAAATGTTACAATTTGAGTGAACTACCCCTTTAATGTCTTCTTATAGCATAAAATGGAATCTTCATCACTGATAACATGTGATGTGCACTAGATCAGAACGGTGCTGTGGGCTTGTGTCATTTTTTTGTTTTTACCAGGCCTTTTGATGCCGCTAGACCAGACAAGACCAGGCATTCCCAATTAAAGCCTCTGGTCTGCTGGCATACTTATTCACAGTCACTGTTCATGGAATGTGATCATCAATTACAGAGACTGTGAGAAAGAGAGAGTGGACATAACCTAGGAATTGAAACTGCTGAACAGCAAAAAGCACGGTTCCAGTGTGATCAAAGCAAAATCAATATACCCGGATGAGATTTATCATTAAATTAAATTGATACACAAGAAGTTTGATCAATTAACAAACAATGAATGCAAGCACTTCTGCTTTATAGCAGCACAGTATGTGTCTGTCTGCTACAAGTTCACTAAAATTAAGATGACTTTCACTGTCTCCAACTGTCGTGTCTCCCATCTGGACTTTTATGTTTAGTTTACATTTTGTCCTGTTTTGTTCGTTTCCTTTTTCTAGATTTGTAGTTCTTTTGGTTCCCATCGTTTCTCCCTGATGATTCACACCTGTGTCTATTTAGTGTTGTTATCCCCTGTGTATTTAAGCACTTGTGTCTGTCTGTGTTTATTGCCAGGTTTTGTCCTGCCTAGGCTGTTATGTTGGTGTGTTTACTTGTTTTATTTATTACTTCCTGGAGTTCTCTATAGTATCTCTTACTTTGTTTATCAGTTCTTTAATGTCTTAAATAAACCTGATTTGTGTTTGGATCCAGCTGTTCATCGTCTTTGAGTTCGAGCAGCGCTACACTGACATTTGTGTATAATTGTCGCATTTTGGAACTTTTAAATTGGTCATTAAACAGCCTTCTGCTTATTCAACATGGCAAAAAGAATGAATAATGAAGGTATGAATATATCCACGCAAAACAAATAATCACCAATATGTTTGAAAGTAAAACAGTAGATTTAAGCCCTATAGGGCTCATCAATATGTTCTAATTATAAAATTATTTTTAATAATTCTTATTCTTAATCTTTAGTCTGTCATTGTTAAATGTTAAGTTTTATATGACTTCTTTATTTTATTTATTTATTTTTATTGTTGTTAAATTTGTCAATTGCCACTTTCTTGGTTTACTCTGCACTGCACATTTTTATTTTACTCCAGTTTTATTTATTTTTCATTTTGCAATAATATATTGTTTATGCATCTTTGATGTATTTATAATATATAATTAATTATAATATAATTACATCTCATATGCACGCAGTACAGTACAGTACAAATGTACAGGCAGGGCAAGAAATCACACTAAAACCCCTCATATGATTGTAAAGCACTTTGGCGTGTACAATGAAAGCGCTATATAAATGAATCATTCATTCATAAAAATGAGAGTGAAAGCAGAACAGAGAGACAGGGAAAGGGGGAAAGAAAGAGAAACAAAAAGAAAATGAAAAAAGACAGACAGAAGTTCTTTTGTTAAAAGTCAAACAAAAAATGCAGAGATGAGA